AATCAATTATCCAAATAAGTGCTCCATTAATATACCTCAACAATATTCACAGAAAAAATATAATTTATTTGATTTATAAACCACGCGTGTGACTACAATTGAATAGTGAGATATAAATATTTTATACAGTGTGTTCTTGGATTAGTTCACAAAATTACTAAGTGAGAAGGTGAGAAAAAACACAAATTTTCAACAACAAATTATCTAGAGGATCTATATAAACACTATGTGAATTACCTATTTTAAAAACATAAATTTCTCATATAAATAATCCAAACTATAGATTATATATAAACTCAGCCTATACATATGGTTAACCCAGCAGGTTCCTAGAGCCACTACAAATGTCGCCAACTACCCGGGCTAACCTTCAGACGCCCTAGCAAGGCGAAAGAAACCTCGAATGGTTCATTAAACCAGTTCCTTAGATCGTACACATTTACTTGGAGAACTGAGGTAATTCCAGAGATAATACATACTGTTGAGCCCTTGTTCCTTTTAGAGTGAGTGTGCTTCTATTGTATATGCTTGTCTCAAAGATTAAGCTATGCATGTCTAAATACACTCCCTAGAAACCGCGAAAGGTTTATTAAATCATTTATGGTTCCTTAGATCGTACACATTTAAGTCTTCTCTGTTTTATTTACATTATTCAACTCATGAGATGGCGTCAAGAAGATTTATTTCTTTGGAGATTCTCTAAGAATGCTGGACTTAGATGGGTGATTCCTAAGAGGATGGCTGTCTGGAATCTTTGAATATTAATTCTGATATTTTTTATGAAAACTAAACTTGTATAAGTACTATATATTAACACAAAGCAATAACGCGCCATCTATACATATAAAATGAAAGGATTTAATTGTGTATTAAAAAAAAACATTCGTGCTTTTAAATCCTTTCATTTTATATGTATAGATGACGCGTTATTGCTTTGTGTTAATTTATGCCTAACTGCTTTGTCTTTATTGTTTCCGGAAGAGCATTGCTCGATGCAAATATTTGAATGTGATTCTACTGTCCTATAAGCTTATGTCCAAAGTTTTCTTGAAAACCTTTTCTGAGATTCCATCCTTCAGTGTTGCGTATATAAGCAGAATCGTCCAATACAGTATTAGAGCTCTGAGAAGCGGTCTGGTAGATTAAATTGGCGAAACCGCTGGGAGGATTCACCACTGATGAGCCAAGCCCTCCCAATTTCATCGCAGTAAGGGCAGTAGAAGTTTGTATTGTGTATAAAAAAACATTCATGCTTTTAAGTACTATATATACTTGTATGTATAGGACTGTAGCATAAGAGGCGTCTTGTGCATCTTACGCATCAAGAACCATACACTAGTGACCAGTAAAGTTTTTAACTGGGATGATGCATAAGTGCCTCGTTCTGGTGTATATTTAAAGGGAGAGGTGTCTCTTTATGGTACATGAATATCATCCTCCCGCAACTTATATATAGAACTGTAAATACATTCTCTCTACACAGACATGGATTTACAGGAGATCAATTTTTAAATAATTTTATTATAAAAAGGTATAGATGGAAAAATTGCCGGGAGGAAATTGATCCATAGAAGCATAGGGCGCGTGTCAAAGCCACAACACCAACCCGAGCCGCTAGTTTGCGGCGACGGTCAATAGATGGCGTCAGTTTTTGACGGGAGAAGCGCCCTATGCTTCTATAAAAAGGTATGTGGGGAATATTTTCACAAATATCTAAATAAATTATTAACTCTAATAACCAAGTGAATATTTAGCACATATAAAGCATGCAGAATATCTATTGTGAAGACCACGTAATCTCAAACCTATCATTCTGATCTAGAGTATTACCTATTTAATATCTGCTTTGCCAGATAATATGGACTCGTTTTATTCTTTTATAAAAATATTCCATAGACAAAAGCAATTGTAAATATATTTGTGTATTCATATAAATTGTTTTGTTTGCAGCCATTTTTTTTTTTTGTTCAAAAATGTAAGTTTTCCACTAAATTTGCGGATAATACTGCCTTATATTTCCCCGCGAAAATCTTCAATGATTGGACCATGACAACCTCCAGACTATGACTATGAATTGGAGGAGGCTATGGTTGAGAAGGCACATCACTTGTCGCGTAGGGGCTGAATTAACGGGGTTTGTCCGGGGCGACGTGTTCCAAACATTATACAAGGTTGGTACACGATATCTTAGCTGGAAATAATATACTGGATGAGTTTTCTTGAATAGGCGTCAAATCGACACAAGGTGTAGGATAAATAAAGAAGGTAAAGAAGTTTCTATAAAATAGATTTAATGTGGTCTCCAATAATAAATAGTAATACAAAAATAGTATTATTTTCCTGGCGAGGTAACAGAAATGAGGGTGACAAAGCTTGGACTGGATTTTTTAATGAAGTCCTTGCAAGTGCCGTTGAGGCCTTTGCGGGCTTGGCGTCGGCGAGGTGGACGCGGACGTTCGGAGTCTGAGTCCGAACTAGAGTCTTCGCGGGTCCTAGCTCCGCTGTCGCTGCTGTGGCACACGTGCTCCCAGTGTCGTAGGTCCACCTCCTTGGCGGGACGGGCTCTCGGACCTTCCGTCCGCTGGACGTTCAGCGAATCCTCGGTCATGTCCGAACACGCCAAGGAATCTGAGTCGAGAGATTCCCTCCGTCGACGTTTCATGTATTTCCCGAGATCTTCGTGAATCCCGCTGGTGGACTCCTCGGAGGATTCTTTGAAACTGTCGCTGCTCTCGTACGAAGTCCCCAACGAAGAAGATGGCATTATGGGAGGTCCTTCGGAGGACGAAAGACTTGAGTCCTGTCTGGAAACTGTTCCTGGATCCTCGGCTGTTGTTGTCGTGAGGAGCGCCGGTTCCCGGTTTGGTTTGAAGTAGATGAACTCGGACTCCTCCTTCTTGCTGTTGCGAAAGAAGCGAATGGCCTCCTGCTTAGAGTTGCTCATTTTCCGCACCAGCTTGGTGAACGTCCGGTCCTCTCTCTTCAGCATCCAGTTGTCAGACCCGGGTTCCGTCTCTACTTTGGGACGCGATACCTCGAAATGGCTTCCCAATCGTCCCAACGTGTTCCTTAGATCTCGCATCTTCTGGGAGAATGTGGAGCTCTTGCCCTCGCTTCTTAGTCCAAGCTCAGGGACCATCTTGAATTCAGAGAGCTTCTTGGCTACCTGGTTGGAAAGCTGAAGGTATTCTTCAGAGGATGGTTTATCGCTCTGGAAATCTGGCCATGAAGTGGCGGGAGGAGGTTCGTTCATGATGAGAGACTCTGGGCGTTTCCTCCAGTTCAGAGTCTGGAGCGGTGGGGCGATGTCATCTGGGGGCGTCTTGACGGCAGTTTCGACTGGCTTCGTGGCTGCTGGCGTGGTGTGGCTGATTAGGTCGAGCGTATGGATGGAAGCGGCGTCCCCCTGATGAGATTTATTTACATGGATCTTGTCGGCGATGTGCTGGTGGATGATGAAAGAGTCTGATGGAGGTTTGGGCGCTGGCTTCTTGGCGGGTGGCGGCGGGGGCTTATGCTGCCCCTCCAATGTGGAGGTGAAGGCAGGGGCGATCGTGGAGGGCTCCCCGCCCTTGAAGTCGATGGAATCGTAGAAGAAAGAAGCTCGAGACTTGCGGCCATCAGGGACTTCAGGATGTCCCTTGATACGCCTTACTAGGCGATCTTTAAGTAGACGGCACCAGGCGGCTGCAGGACGAGGGTCGAGGGGTCTACGGCGAGATGAGGCCTCGGGCTCAGCTTCACTGGGCCTCGCAGGCTCTGGGTAGAAATAGTCGTCCTCTGGGATCACCAGCAGCGATGGTTTGAACCTCTTGGGGCCTGAGGCTGGGTGGCCTCCGGCAGCTACTCTGCCTGTAGGGGCCTCCGCGGCCTTCTTCCCCGGCGTAAACTGGGGCCCCTGCACATCAGCCCCCGGTTACTTCATGCACTATCCACTTCTGACATATTATAAAATCCGATTTAATTATTTTTTTAAATATTGAAAACTTATCAAAGCTTTACAGTGTTCAGCGTAGTAGATTTTTGAAAACTATAAATGTGATTAACGTAACACACATATGGTAGGGATTATAGGTTCTCTAAATACGCCTGCAGGTCATTCTTCAGAAATTACACACCATGTAGACCAAAAAGTCTGATACAATAGTAGAGTGTCTGAATATTGAGTTAGTGAAGATGTGAGGATACCCAACTGATGAGCTAAGCCCTATTCACTAATTATTACTATCATTGCAGCAAAATGTATCTGTAAGAATAATTTTGATTTATTTAAAGAAAAATTAATTATCAAAATAGTTAAACACATTTCAAATATCTCCTATAGACGTCTCAATTTTTGTCGATTTCTATTAATCATCCTCCCGGCAAAATTTCCATCTATATATTTATATAGGGTTTTTTCGACAATTAAAAACTTTGTAGACCCCCTATCATGGCTCAAACCTATACAAGGTAGATGAAGCCCTTCCAATGATGAAGAGTGTTTCTCCGTGTTATGAGTGGGACCTGTATAGAAGAGGTTTATAAAGATGATGTCCGACGTGGAAGAGAAGATGCTACCGACCCTACAACTCTCTCCAAACATTATCTCTCCTCACACCATAACTAGTTAATTGGTACTACAATATATGTAAGAAATTAAACAATCCAGCGATTTTTAAATATGTTACACTATACATAATATATTAAATTATTATCAGCCAGAATATATCGCTTGTAAGTAAAACGGCTTTTTATTGCCTCTACTACGATAAGAAAACTCTTGGGAGGGCCTGGTTCATCAGTGGGGAACCGCTTTACTATTGTATACAATACAATACTATTTTGGCGATTACAGAAATGAATAGATGACGCAGCAACTAAAGAATTAAAACCGTCACGTATTCCTCTCTCTCTGTATAATACAATATGAGACACTAGCCGAATGACCCGGGCAACGCCCGTGTTTTACCCGATTGAATCTTTTGATTCAAATACTATTTGTTACAATTATAAATTGTGGTCATATGGCCTCGTGGTCATGGCATCTGCCCGGTAAGCGGAAGGTCGTGGGTTCGATTCCCATCCCTTGACACTTTTTTTATTTTATCCATTCTGACCAAAATCTATCCGTGAACTTCACACAGTGAACTTCACACAGACAGAATAAGGCAATTATATATGAGACATTACAATACCTTGTGGTTGATTAAACTGGATAAACCGCAGGGAAGGTTCACCCCTGATGAGTCCAGACCCTCCCGATATTTCTTATCATAGCAAGGACAGAAGGAAATTTCATCATTAGGTTTCATTTCTTGTCGACAGATGTGTTCAACACTCTATAATGTTTCCATTTACTTAATAATGATCCAAGTTTTTTTACTTAATGATGCAAATGTTCCTGTTGTAATGATGATAACTAATTTATTCACTTAGTGATGTCTATAATTTACTCTTAATGACGCGGTATATCTAAATACAGTGTTACTTGATCATCATCTAATTCTTTAGCACAAGAATTGTATATGTAATTAAGTGGTGTCTGTTCTACTAAAAGAGGGAATGAAGAGCTGAAGGTTTTTATTAGAACTTTAGGGGTTAAAAAAAGTAAGGCACTTCTAAAGTTCACCTTGGTAAGATTTTTTTTTTTTCAAATACCCTCATGCACAAGACTTGAGGAAGTTGTACCTTTAAATATGTATATCGGAATTCAGACAATAACTGAAATATATTACAGTAACCTTTATAGAAGACACATGAGATAACCAAGGGTGAACAAAATTGCCTCTGACTCAAAAAAAAATAGACTACCGGCAACATCAAATACTTTGAGTCTTCTTTAAGTTTTGTCCATGAATGTATGTCCACTCACTTCATAGACATTGATGCACTTACAGTAGAAACAGTCGCAAATCCAATATGGTTACCGGGACTTTTTTTAATACGGATAAAAATTAAGGAAACAGTAACCAGTAGATAGAGAGTATCTAGAGACCAGCTCCTGGAAGATAGGCGATCAACCTCGTCTCTCTCTCTCGAAGTATACTAAAGGATATTAATAAAGGTTTTGATCCAAGATGAGCTCGTCATCATCAAATAAAACGGTATAAAAAGAATGGTACACAACATGAAGGAATCATTACAATAAAAGTCACATGTGTGTCCCTAACCTGTGGCTGGGATGAGAGTCCTGGTGGGTTCTCGAGGTCCCTCAGAGGTCGGACTTGGCGGACCTTGAGGTAGATGAGGACTGCCAGGACGTAGACCAGTCCCAGGATCCCCACAGCCAGTCCTATGATGGCGTAGTGAGACTTGGAGGATTCCTTGGGGACTACAGCCACCGGACTGGGATCTGTTCACCAACGTCATGTTTGCTCGGGGTACATGGCAGCTCTTAATTTATCTCTGTGCTCATCAGAATATACTCGTACAAAGTTAAATACCCTTTTGTACGCGACAATAATAAATTCATATTCTTTGAGAAAAATCATATTTTGCTGGTTGGAAATTAGGTTTATCTACCATTAGGTATAATAATACTTTCACGTGTCAACCAATAGAAATACAGATGGAAAAACAAAACTTCTATCACTAATCGAATTATTCCAGCTCATCTGCAAACTCAAAAGAGAATTAACGACAACAATTACCAGAATAAGAAAATGACATTTTAAAGGGATGAAAATAAACTCGGACATGAGACAAGATCCTACCGAAACTGCGACAAGCTTACTCCAGATCACATATGCCCAGCCATCCTTGCAGCCATGGAGAACATCAACCCAGAAGAGCACCTGATAGAACACCCCAGGAATTGTGCACAAAGTACATTTGACCTGCTCCATGGACATGTCAGCCAATTACTCTTCTTTTCAAGACGATTCAGTGAATCTCTACCTCCGCTTTATCAAAAGCAGTACTGCGTCGAAATGTCGGGAAAACAGTACGATAGAGTACTTAGTTGAGAGATATATGGGGATATATTACGGACGTAGCCACTTGCCAGTTAAGCACCACTTTAATGAGCTCTGGAGAGTTCATTAATCCCTTGTTATTTCATTAGACCATTATCTTTGATGATTATCCCGAAACAATGGCTCCAGGTGGGCTTTCTGAATGTACCAAAGTTGGTGTTGCCACCGACCCGATTCCGCTAACTTGCAGAAACGGTTGATAGAGGGCGTCTAGTTTTTGCGTCTATTTTATGGGAGAGTTGACTTTTTAATTGAGAGAGATGACATACAGTAAAAATATTTTATTATAAACTAGTCGTAAGGACCATACATCGCCTAGTTTCTGCATAAATGAGGTTTTTTTTTTAGCAACCAAATTGTTTTTTAACATTAATTAGTGTTGAATTTAAAATATGTATAACTTATTCATTTCACAAACACCGTAGTATGCAAATAACCTGTTTGTTATTGCATACTTAATATAATTGCATAGAATTAAGTTGCATATATCGGGGTTGAAGCAGACATAACACTATATCGCGGTATAGTTTCTCCTCCTATGGATAGGCCAACCAAATATAATGCCATCAGAGCAAACAAACATAGTCTAACAAACTCTTTGTATTTCCCAAAACTCCCGAAAGACAACGAACATCTTAATTAGAAAAGTTTGAGCGGTGTCGTCAGAGTTGTCACCCAGTCGTGTTTACATGTCCCCCGGGTCAGGCCACGTATAAAACGTTTTTTTTTTTTTTTATGTCACCATCGGAATGTGACGTTTTATAGAGCTCTTACGTCATGTTGCGTAACCCATGCCGACAATTAACTCCCTCGACCTGGAAACCTTTCAAGAGATACTGGTTCGACGGGTGTGCGACGTGAAAGAAGGTTTTTATCGCAGTTTGAAGAAATCCGATTGGTGTTTAATACCAACTTAGCGATTGAATACAGTAGTAGGATCTACAGACACCATCTCAAACTTTACTTACGTCTTCTACACTTCATTGAATAGGCTTAAGACATACCTACCTGACTGAGATTACACGGTCCCGAGTCCCAAATTTATACACCCCTGATATGAAGACTAAGTGTAAATAAAATCTGTAATACGCATAGAATCAAAAATCTATTGGATTTAACACCAACATTTCTCACAATGAGTTTTTATATTTAAATGATAGTTTTCAACTGATAATATCTCTTCAACAGACTTGATTAAAAAAACATCGACTATTTCTTACAAGAAATGTTTACACATACGCGCGCAGCGTGGATTTTTACAACTGAAATTTAAACTAATAATTAAAAAAAATGAACTGTATGTGCGCGTATATTTGTAAAAACTTATAAGAAACAGTCGATGTTTTAATTAATCCAGTTGAAGAGCGATTATCACTTGAAAGCTTGCATTTTAAAATAAAAAGAAACTCATTGTGAGAAATCGTTGTAGTTTTAAACGCTTTCACCATTTTACCTGTGAACCAATATTTATAAAACTCCCTAATTAAATTTCACATATAATACATAGATTAGGATTTATGATTAAAATACAAAAAATGTTAATAATCATTTTATTGTGGTTCAAATTGATTTTAATTTCTGTAGCGAGCATCAATCTAGGTAGCGTTTAGTTTTAGCGTCTCTTTTGACGGGAGAGGCGGCCTTTCTTTTTATATAGATCAATATTCTCCCGGCAAAATAATCTTAAAACAATTTTAATAGCCTTTCAGTAACATAATGTACAACAAACAGTAACGTGATGATAAGATGTAGATTTAAGACGTATTCTGGTCACCCGGTTTCGTTTTCAATCAAGAAGCCATTCCTTTTCAACAAATCCCACAGAATGTCCGATTGTAAATATTTTAAACATTAATTTGTATATTGAAGAGAAAGGTTGCCTGGCCGGCATTTATAATTCTTGGGTTTTAAGAGACGCTTCGGCCAAATTTACTAGCTGAAGTGTCTCTAAAAACTAAGAACTAATTCATTTATATATATATATGATATTTTACGAAAAATCAACAATGGTTTCTATATAAGTTTGTATTTATTTCCTTATTTTGAAGGCGACTGTATGCACACGAACTCCGGGGAAAAACCAACCAATAAGATGAGGACATCTCTATATATACATAAGGTAGTTTCCCCCACGAATACTCACCTGAAGATGCTCCAGCCACTCGGACGGCAGCACAGGCCCCTTGCCCCTCGCACTCTAGCCGCACCAGCACCAAGCGGTGTTGTAAGGGCCCCCTTTCTCCTCCTGCCCACCGTAAGGAGCCCCCCGCCAGCCTGAATCCTCCAGCAGGGGCCTCCACCCATCCTTGTGGCCCTAGGACTTGAGCTCGGGCCACAGAACAGCCTGCAACAGCCATCCCATCTTTACATACATGTATATGTCGGTGTACTACATGTCATTAATGTTCCTCTAAACCAACGCCTACCTCGAAACTTAGTAAACTGTTCCGGGACTCTGTACTTCGACAATAAGACCTTGTTAGTAAAACAGTCGCCATACTTGTCGATCGGCCAATCAGAGGGCAGGAACACGTATTTGTCGGTGTCGGTGGGGGACAATCATCGTATATTGAGAGAAGAAGTAACATATTTAGTGAAACATATGACAACTTTATAATCTCTAGAAACCTGAGGCGTTATTCAATTCATATACAGGAGATTGACATCTTTTGCCTATATATATTGGTCTACTAATGCAGCTAGGATTGCCTGAATTATAATAGGAGCTGGTATAGAAAGGGCCAAGAGCTTTCGAGAGACGATGATTGTGGATGTTGGTCTACCTATGCCGCTGGGATTGTCTGAACTCGAATAGAAACCATTCTAGAGAGGGCCAAGAACCCCCGGAATACGACCAATGTATGTAGGCCAACAATAGTTACGGTAGATTGAGGAGATATCCAAAAGTCACACACAAAGAGTTGAACTCTATCATCAATAAACGTCAGAAAATGACGGATATCAGCAGTATATTTACGGCTCTGTGGCATGTGCCTGGAATTTCTAAGCCAGCAATAAGGAAAATAAAACTGAGAAAGCTTTAAAAAAATACCAAGATACAGTTTCCTTTGACCGCATTTTTAACCATAAAAAGATTCGTTACCTTTTTTTTTTTTTGAA